GATGAGGTGATTCTGAGGTAGATGTGGATGAAAAAGTGAGAAAAGCCGGGAGCCGGGAGCACCCTGACGGGCAGCGGGAGCCGCAGAAGTCGACCGCCCACGCGAGGACATGTACGTGCCTGGGCCTCGCTTCGCACTTTCTGCATTCGCGGTGTTTTAGTAAAAAAGCTACATGCACTCATGCATCCCCCGTCACACACACGTGCACACACACATGCACACACACATGCATACGCACGAACACATACGCGTGCGCACACACACACACACACACACACGCATGCAGAGCTCTGGCCACTGGATGAGAAAGACAGATCAAAGAATGGAAGAGAAAGCATTTTTCTCACAATTTTATTCTTTTTTTTTAAAGATCATAACTAAATGTGATTTTAGTTGGTATTTGTGTAACCATTGTCACATAAGTGAATTTAGATGTCAGGGTAGAAATGGAATTTACAATCAGTGCAGAAAATGTGGTTAGATAACTGCTAATATCTGGGTAAGAAATCGAGGCAGATATGTCACCCTTTGCTCCTCAAAATTTTTTAGCTAGAGCCAGGTTTTAGATGTTAAGAATGAAATAAGAATCATGCAAATTTGTAGATGCATAATTACATATCAATTCATATGCTGTACAGAATTTGGGAGAAAGGAAGGCCTTTCCTGAGGGATTCTCAAGCTAGAAAGCAGAGAAAAAGAGGCTGACAGACAGCACAGGAAAGTCCTACGTGCGGCTAAGGGGACCATAAGCATCACTGAGAAGAACGTGAAAAATCATAAAGTGGAAAAAATATTTGTAACAGAAAAACAGACTTATTAGCCTTAATATATAAAGAAGTCTTAAAAATAATTAACAAAAAGATACAGGTACCAAAACAAAAATGGGTGAAGATGGGAGTTCATGAAAGATACACACACGGCCGATAAATGTATCAGAAGCGCAAACACCAGATGAATGGAACAAAGTCAGCAGCAAAGATCAGAGGGGCAAGGATCAAAACAGAACTTCTGCCAAAAAATAAAAATCGAATCTGGTCAGGTTTTCCAATCAACTACCAATTCACAGGAAATGCAGAGGTCAGAGGAGTAGGTATAACACGATAGAGACACGATTAGCAAAATCTTAACACAAACTCTACGAAGAAATGAGCTTTTTGAAAATACAGTCCAGGGGGGGAAAGTAAGGGACACCCTCAATCTGTAGAGACAGAACTCATCAGCCTGTCGGATGTGTAGACCTTATTTAGATCCCAATTCAGACAAGTCATAAAAAACAAAATCAATCACATATGAAATTGATAAGACATGCAGAAATTTAACCAGAGACTAGAGATTTCTTAGTAGAAGGAATTATTGTAAATGTTGTTTGAGGAGTAACAATCACATCCTGGTGATGGCCTTTTAAACGTCTCTGGGAGGGTCACATGGAAGTAATTCCAGGTGAACTGACATTACGTCTGGGACCTGCGTGCAGTGCACGGAGTGGGTGGGCGGCCAGAGCTGGCCACGGGCTGGGCACTGCCAGAGATGAACGGCACTTGAAGGAGTCCCTTTTACTGTATCTTCTGCCAACTTTGGGTGTGTTCATAATGTTCCAAGTTTAGAAAAAGAAGAGAGTAGGCTCTACCTAGCATTGGTGAAAGGGAAAGGATGTGGGCTCTTGGAACAAACGTTGAGAGGGCAGAAAACCAGAATGGACCCTCTGTCCCACCAATTCAACTTGCAGAATGTTCTCTTATGAAAATAGTTGGAAAACTTTATAAAGAAGTGTAAGAATGGTTACCCAGCAATTTCTGTAATGGCAAGTAGATAAATGAACAGTGAACGGATGAAGGACTGAGAAGAACCTACACACACACTCCAGAGGCACTAGACAGAGGCCCTGGGGCACTTCCGTTCAAGGGGACAATGTGCAGCCATTCAAGGAGAGGACCCCGTACACATTGATGACGCGCATGATGCCAGCATCAGAAGTACATGTCTCTGGGAGTTTATGTTTACGGGGAAAGTTTTACAGCGACACGCATGCTACCATCAGGGTGGGACTGGGGGAACTTGGTGTTCGTTTTTCGTTTTCATTGATGTATATAGTTTTAAATTTTTTCTGTACTAAGTATGGATTTGAGGCCTAATTTTAAATGTTTAAGAAAAAAACTTGTAAGTGAACTATATATCAAAAGGAGGCAAAACATTTTGAACGATGTTAATGTCTCTTCCTTAACCACTTAACCGCGTGTTTGGGTTTTCTGAAACGAGAGTTTTAGAATTTGTCGGTTTCGAAGCCACCAGAAACTCACTTTGTGAAACGATAGGAGGAACGTGCTGACGTTCTCGTCCCTGCACCAAACACGAACAACGCTGAGTGCGGGTTCAAGGACAAACCGAAAATGTAGCTAATGGCCCTGCACAGACAAATCGCTAGTCTGCTTCCTCAGCTGACAAGGGCAGGTCTTTCCCTTCTCTTCTGACAACGAAACACAGATGGGGCGTCTGGGTGGTTCAGTAGGATGAGCATCTGTCTTCAGCTCGGGTCCTGTTTCCGGGGTCCTGGGATCGAGCCCCATGTTGGGCTCCCTGCGTTGGCCTGCCACTAGCACTCTCACTCCCTTTCTCAAACCTTTTTTTTAAAAACGAGAACACAGATGAAGCACTTTAAGGCATGAGCCCTTCTGTGGGCCTCACGGGTGGGCTGTGTGCAGGATTGACCTGTTAGCCGACGTGCTCCCGTCCCGCGGTGCTGACAGACTCACGTGGCCAGGAGGGGTGGCTGCCGTGGGAGGCGTGTGGCCGCCCCGGGCACTCTTCCAGCAAATCCCAGCATGACATGCGGGCCTCAAGCCTGCCACGCTGGGCATCCTGGCCTGGCCTTCACCCCCGAAGACGAAAAAGACATCCCCACTCTTACCTTCCGACTTCATAAACAACCTCTTCTGGCAAGACAGGCAGACTTGGTGTCGGCGCCGTCAGAACGGTGGGCGGCGCACTCTGGGATGGGGTCCCCACCACTTCCCTAGGCCACGTTTCCCTGCAGTGAACGGCCCCCTGCCACAGCACGGCAGTCCACACCAGCCCACAGCCACCATCTGTGCCCGTGGAGCCTGCCTCCCCGGCTCCGTGTCCCCCGTTCTTCTCCAGTGAACAAGCATTGCTCTTCTAACCCTGAACACAGCCAGATGGGGCGTCACCTGCGCACGGATCTCCCTTGCGGCCTCCAAGGGCAGCGCCTGAAGGAGGCTGACTGGGCGGGGCAGGCCCAGAGCCGAGGGGAAGGCCGCAGGCTGGGGTCCGCGGCAGCCGGGCAGGGGAGGCCGGGCTGGGATGGGCCCTGGGATGGGGACCCCACGGCCGTCTGGCCTGTGACCTGGTCTGAGTGGACAAGACGCTCTGAGGAGACACCGAAGCCATGCGTCACACGCGCTCGCTGACACTGTCCGTGGCGAGCGTCCCTCCCCACCCGGGGACAGGAGGGATTCATGACGAAACTGCCAGGTCGGGCGTCACCCCATTCGTCCTTGCTGCTGCTGCTCTAACTTCCGTGTCCTTTTGCTCTCCGGAGGAGTGCCTGCTTTGGGGTTTGAGGGACTGCACAGGGGAGCTCGGCGGCGGCCCCCAAGCAGTCACTGAGGTCGTCTGTGCATGCCTGTGTCTCAGGCTCCCCGCAAGGCCTGTGCGCCGTCACCCCCTTGTGCAGATGGGAGGGGGACAAGGCTCCAAGACGCTGGTGACTGGCTCATGCAGCACGACGCCGTGGGGGACGTGAGCCCCACACCCCGTGTGCCCGGCTCTCCGCGGGTGCTTTCCAGCAGGCAGGAAGATGCACGGGGCTTATTCTCTGCAGAAAAGCTTTTCATTCCCTAAGTAGCCAGGGCAAAGTGTGTGCTACAGCCCTCACCACAGCGACCGATGACCGAGTCTGGGTGTGGCCACCCCCTCTCCCCATGAGGCCAGGGCAGAGGCATGAGCTCACCCCAGAAGAAACGCCGTGAACCTAAGAACTCCAGAACGCCCGCTGTTTCTCGGAGAATGAAGACGTGTCTCCTGAAGAGAGGAGCCCGTGACAGCTGTCACACAGCACACATTCAAGGCCACGAATCCCGGCCACGCCGCTCTGGGCCTCGGCTTTGCTGGCGGGGACAGCCGGCTTGGCTCAGCAGACCATGCCCTGACCCGCGGCCAAGTGCCCACAGACCGCCCAAGACGCCAGGGGCAGAAAAGTCTCCTGTCTGTCTCCTGCAACACAGGAGTGTGCCCTGCGGTTCCGGGTGACCCACAGCCGGCCGGCGCTGTGCCGGCTTCCTCCCCACACCGGTCTTCTCCGGCCCTTCCACGCCACGGGAAACCCCTCCACGACCACACGCCGTGGCCGTGCGTGGACTGGCTCTTCAGACCACCAGTGCTGAGGGGTGGCCGCTGGCGGAGAACATGGCCCTGGGGATGACACAAGGACAACACGGGGAGTGCGGGGGCTCTGGGAGGGTAAAGGACCTAGGAGCAGTCCCATGACCCAGTAGTTTCCTGGCAACCTTGCCTGTAAGTACTAGGACATCTCAGGGAGCCTTCAGACCCGGGGAGAAGGACGCCGGTCTCCACAGTCAGCCGATGCACAGAAAACCCAAGAGAAATGAGAAATTTCCATTTTAATATAAAAGAGGCTCTGTGTCTGATAACTTCATTTGGGGAATTACACAGAACAGACTGGATACCCACATTTACTGAAATTTAGTTTAAGATGATAGAGCATTTTAAATATAAAAATAAGTCTTTTAATTACAAAAGAGTACACGAGCAACCCCGGATCCATCCACGAAACGACGGGAAAGTGTGAAAGCAGGGCCACATCTGGATACTGTTCCAGAAGCCACACGGTCCTCAAACCTCACAGGAAATTTGACACTGACATTTTTTTTTTTAACTTTTAAATGATGCAAACTATTTCCTTGTCAAGAAAGAGACGTCTGAAAGGTGTGGTGGGGGACGTCAGGCTGAAGATTCAACTGAGGCGACAGGGTCCTCCTGACTCACGCACAGCAGGCGGTGGGATCTCCCGACCGGGGCACGCGGGCTGCGATGTGACGGGTGGGCACCCAGTCCATGCTGAGGGCAACCCTCGTTGGCACACAGACAGAACCTTCCAGCTTGCACTCCTACTGGCTCTCGGTGTGGTTAAGATGTCCCTACAATGATACAAAAACACACGGTGGGAACGGATTCACCACGGCTGTCACCCCCACGCAGAGCTGCACCTAAAATGACAGGGCCATCACTTGTGAAGAATGTTTTATTTCTGAGGTAAATACACATTTACAGACTATACATAACATATAATAAAAAAGATATTTAAAGCACTTCCTACAGTGCTTGTTACATAGGAAGTTCTCAATAAACATTATTTTTCTTCTCCCCTATAGTGCTATGAGGGAAAAAAAAGAGTGAAAATTTATATATTCATAAAGTAGAATTTTTTAAAATTATGTTGTCTAAATATCGAGTAGGGATCCAACACAAAGGCGCTGTGGCGGGGACCAGGCTCTAGATGTGCCCCGGGTTCGTAACAGTCCAGGGCCCCTGCCCACCTCGCCTCACGCCCCCTCACCTTCACCCGCAGGAGGAAACGGGAGGACCAGATGGCTCAGGGCAGACAGGCAGCCAGACAATGAGCCACTGTGAAATGACCAGTCTTGTCCAGCATCTAGGAGCCTTTGTCCCACTTGGGCACGATCCCAGCAGAGAGCAGCGTGAATCCGTGGCCCCGTGGCAGAAGCCGGCAGAGGGTTCCTGCTCTGTAAGACCACGTCATGATGCCAGCGGGCTCCCCGGGCTGGCAGAGGCCCAGAAGGGTGGGTGGGGCCAGAAAGCCTGGTCCATGACCGTGTCCACTTCCGAGAAGGCGGTGCTGTTCTGAGCCACGGGCACCCAGCCTGAGAGACCTGGCACTGGCAACAGTCGGGGAGGTGGGACCCAGGCTTGTGAGCTCCTGTGTCACAGACATGGCTCATTCAGGTGGCTCGGAATGGGATGGTTTGGAGGCCGCTGATTCTACCTGAGGGGGCGGGTCTGGAAGGCTTTACACAGGAGAGGTCTCTTGAGTAGACCAAAAAGACACACTGGAATCCTACAAGGTGGGAGAGAGCCTCCCAGGCAATGAGAACAAGAGGTCAGAATGTTCTAGAACCAGAGAAGCCATCGGGGACAACGGAAGCCACGTTCACGGCACACACAGGCAGGGACAGGGGATCTATCTGGATGGTCAGGCTGCACCCAGACTGTGAATACAGGTGCTGAATGTACTCAACAGGCCTGTGTTTCCCAGAACAGTCAGACTGGCTGGTAGGGAGGGGCTGGACAATGCTGTCGCCATCATCATCACTGCTCCCAACAGCACCACCGGCGCGTGGCTCGGAAACCAAACTTTCTTTTCAAGAAGGTCTTCACTGAGACGTCTCCATCTAGCCCCCATCCCCACCCTCCCCGTGCAATGGGGTCTCGCTGGAGGCAGAAGGGACCAGACGGTAACAATTACACAGACAGAGCCACGTCAGCATGAACACTGAGACCCAGGACCTCAAGCACAGAAGAACCTGCAGAAACTGCTCCTTAAAGCCTGCCGCCCAGCGCCTGTCAGGCTCCCGCCCAGCGCCTCTCAGGTCCCCACGTCGCTCTAGTCACTCTTCTCAGCACCTTGTCAACGTCCATCTCGCAGGGCAGAGCCATAGTGACACCCAAACAGGAGCCCGTCTGTCCCTGACCGAGTGGTCGGGCATGCGGTCCCCAGACCTTGCAGTGCCCCGTGGCGCACACCAGCCCCCAGGGGCGTGTGTGACGGCGGGGTCTGGGCGCTGACTGCGTGTCTGACTCCACAGGAGCGAGGAGGGGAGTTGTGCCCGTAAGGCCTGCACTCGCTGACGGTGCCGGTGCCTGAGGAGGCCTAAAACGTCCTCTTGTAAGAAACCGTGGGAACGTGTCACTTTTGATAAAATACACTTCCAATAATTTTCCACCAAAGAAAGATGGGTTTGGAAGACAGCTTTTATTTGTTTCTAATACTGGGACCAAAGGGGCCTCAGGCCCAAAGGGGTCCGCACCTGGACACGGCACAGTGAGTGTCAAAGCACAGATCCTCTCGGAGGCAGAGCAGGGGAAGCCTCCAGGCCTACGGCGATCCCCTGGAAGGCGGACAGCTGACTTCCCGTCAGAAACGCAGAAGTCAGGAGGTAGTGAGAGGATGTAGGCACAGTGATGAACTAGGTCCATGCAGAGTTCTGGATCCAGCCAAAGTAGCCTCCAGAGACAAGGGTGTTCCTAGGACAGCCCCAGGTACACAGGACAGGCCGTGGCGAGCAGACCTGCCTGTGACAACCACTGAAGGGAGTCCTGCAGGTCCAGGAACCCAAAGCCAGACCTTCACATTTTCCTGAAAGTGCGAACTGGCCTTTCAACACGGCTCCGCCTCTCCTCGGGGCGGAACAGGTCTTACCCTTCGAGAAGCTTTTGTTCTGTTCTTCCCGCCATCAGAAGCCTTGCTGCTCCCCACCGCCACAAGAAACCACGTGACTGTGCCTTGTCTCCAAAGTTCCACCGAGTAAGACTTCATCTCTCTCTCCCTCCATCCGAGCCACCATCCCAGTGCACCCACCAGCCCAGGGCCTCATGCTGTAGAGGGCGCCTCACTCCGGCCCGTTTCAGCTGTACCTCTCCATGGGGTAAAGAATCCACAGAGCCAATGGGGTGTGTCCTCCCCCGACCGCTGTTCCCCTTCAGAGCCTGCTTCCTGGGGCCAGCCTCTTCTCCAGGTACGTTCCCCTGAGGACAGACCACTCCGTGGCCCTACTCCAAAGGCTCGGTGTCTGTTGGAGGGAGGCTATGTGAGGTGGGAGTGGGGGTGAGGGGCTTGGACGTGTCCTTTGAATGTACTCAAGGCCCCGTGTCATGCCGGACAGAGCCCAGAAGCAGGTAGAGATGTGCCCAGCAGCCAGCTTTCCCACATCCCACAGGTCCCGGGACGGGACTCTGAGAAATTCAGGGATTCTGTATCAGAACCTGGCCTTCCGCCTTGTCATGAAGGCCTCATTGTCAGCAAGCACGTGAAGTAGTTGAGGAAAGCAGGGCCTATACATCAATGCAAAGGACACCTGATTCTTGAGATGACTTTTTTTGCCTCCATTCCAGAATCTTCCATAGCTCGGAGGCTCTGGAACTTGCTGTAGCCTCATCTGTGTAGGACCCTTCTAGGGCGTGGGAATGGACAACAGGAACAAAACTCAACAACCAGCAGCAGTCAGCAGCTTCCAGTGAGCAACTCGGAACAACGCTGAGCAAACTTTATCATCTCCTCCCACAGATCACCCTCTAATGGACCAAGGTTGATAACTGCTCCATTTGAAGCGGGGGCGGGGGGGGCAAGTGGGTAGGGCTGAAGTCGGGGAGGTGGAGGCGGCCAGGTGGCATCCCGTAGCCTTGCCCATGCTCCCGAGGGGGAGTCGCGTGCTCGCGCTGGGGAAGGAGATCTAGGGCTGAATCCGGGCTAAGGCTCGTGCTGGGCGCAGATCCACCAGCCCGGGCGGGTGACTCACAACACTCCCATCCCGGATGCGTGAGGACGGGGAGCATCGCGGAGGAGTACTGTTGAGCTGGGGACAAACAGGCCCTTTTGAAACCGGGAATGTGGAAGGATGTGCATTCTGGAAAAGCCTCGCGTTTACAACAAAAAAGCAAACAAACCGCATGCCCAGCTTTTGTGGACTTCGGAAGTGGGCACAAGGGCGGGCTCCAAACTCCAGTGAGCAGCCGCTCTCACACACAACCGTTTCGGCCCAAACCCATGTGTCCGGGCTCTGGCGGAGGCGCGTCTGGAGCTCGGAGAGGACGCCGCCGCGGTCTCCAGCAGGCGCCCATGAGGAGCCTGAGCACTTTAATGAACCCACTCACCCGGGGCTGCTACTGTCTTCTAAATTTTAAGTTTTTCGTTTTACCCCTTTTGACCGCTCTCACCCTCTACCTTTGGCACCCAACAAGCCGCTCTCAGTCTCTACGCACCGCTTTTTCTTCTTCTAAGACTCCACTTGTAGTGGGATCACACAGTGGGAGTCTTTTTCGGACTCATCTCACTCAGCACAAAGCCCTTGAGGTTCACCCACGGTGTTGCAAATGGCAGGATTCCATCCTTTTTCACAGCCAAGTAACACTGCACTGTGTGCGTACACACGGCTTCTCTACCCGCTCACGCACCCTGTGTTCGAACGTCCGTCTTACATCCAACAGGCAGGAGGACTCCGTGTCCCGGCACCGGACCCGCAGCTCCTCTTGGGTTTTCTGTGTAGGTAATTATAGCAGCTGGAAATGACAGTTTATTTCCTCCTGTCCAATTCTTACACTATTGCTTCTTTTTTGTTGTCTTTATGCACCAAAAGTCAAAGCATCCTCCCTCCCCGGGCAGCCAGGCACCCCTGCCCACGAGCAGACTCCGCACGCTGAACAGAAGTGAGACAACCAGAGAACCCGTGCTCTCCTCTTTGTCAACACAAACACTTCCACAACGTGGGACAAACCCCAAACCTTCCCAGGATAAACCCTTCTGTTTCTGGTTTGCTGAGTAAAATCCTGGGTGGAATTGGGGGTAACTAGATGCTGTTTCTGCATGGACGTAGATGATCATTTGGGTTTTTCCTCCTTTGATCCAGTAGTCATTTTCTAACGTGAACTCACCCCCCTGTTACTCCACATAGGATTTCTGTTGACCTATAAAGCCATCTGCGATGGTAGCTTTTGGGTTATCTTTCTCAGCTCATCTCAATCTCACTATTACTGGTCCGTTCATGTTCTCTTCTGGAGTCAATCTGGGCAGCCGCATTCCCGGGGGCGGGGGGCAGGGGGTTCCCACTCTGGTCATCCTAGCCTTGTGCTTGGTACAGCCGGTCCCCATGTTCACACACGCACTGTCCCCTTTGAGCGCGTCAAAGATGTCACGCCAAGGTTTCCCCAACAAGAGGTCCGGGGTCAAAGCACCACCCGCCCGGAACAAGCCCTCCCACCTCCCCCACAGCTCCACAGAACCTCATTATCCTTCCCCTTCACCGTGACGATGTGTGCGGACTCCACGCCCAGCACCCACCGCCACAACTTCAGGAGAACAAAACAGCTACAACCAAGAACACAACACACCCTCACGGAGCACCGT